TGTTTTGAAAGCTTTTGAAAATGTGTCAGTGTGAAAAGTCTTTTTAAGTTTGTTTTGAGATTAGAGCAAGTATCCTTGAGAACCTACCTACCCTAAGGAATTCGTCTGTGTAAGAGTCCTTAAAAGTAGTGCCATCCCACCATTGAGAGGTAGGTAGCACCACCGTTGGAGGTGTTCGGGTCAATTCGATTTTAGGGACATGGTGATCACCAGAGCAATGGGAAGACACCTTAGAAGCTACCCTCATGCCAGGTTCCCGGATCATGAGGACTTACTAAGACATCCTCTACTCGACGATCACCTTTCGAAAGGCAACAGTGAGGCGTACCCTAGGGGTGGTGTGTGCGATTCGTGTGTCATGTTTCAGTTATTTGTCTTGTCATGTTTGTCGTGTTCTACGCTTGATTTTAATTTGTCCATTCATTCTTGCATGCATATTTAACAGTTATAAAGTTGCGGAAAAAAGAAATCTACGACTATTACAAATGGCGCGGGTCCACATCGCCAAAATTAAACCGGACCCGATTTAGCGGAAAATAAATAAAGCGATAAAAATGCGATAAATAAATGTACATGGCCTTGGGAGAGATACAGAATTATAATAAGCAATAAAGTAAACGCGCAAAAGAAAATAATTAAAGTAAAACTAGGGCGTTGGACCCTTCTTACAAAAATTAAATTACAAGAATTAATTAATTAGAAGTAAATAGGGAATTAGAATTAAAATTCAAAAAGAAAATGTTTTTTAGATTTTTATGTTTTTTATTTATTAAAAGAAAAAAAAAAGAGTTAATTGAAATTAAACTATAAGGCAAACCCTAATTCTAATGTTTTTTTATTTATTATGAAAGAATTAAATTAAGATCTAAATTAAACCTAAAATTTATTATGTACAATTTTAATTATAAAAATAAATAAATAAATAATAATTATTATTGTGGAAAAAAGGGAAAAATTAAAAAAAAGAAAATGGAAAGTCATTAAACCTAAATTCTATTTTTTGGATTTTTATTAAAAAAAGATTAAAATTATAACCTAATTACATATAATTTATTTATGAAAATAATTAAAAGAAATAAATATTATATTTGGCCTTTTCTGATTTTATGATGTTTTTGTGTTTTGGTTAAAAATTAAATAAAACAAATAATTAAAATAAACATAACAATTAACATAATAATTAAAAAGATAAGAAAAATAATTAAATTTGGCAAACCAGGGTGGGGTGTAGCCCCAGATTAGGAGGTTCAGGCCTGGAAATTCTGGCCCAACAAGAGTTGATTCGTTGACTTCTCCAATTTGGTGTACCAACACGTTGACCTAGGCTTAGTGGACCTTCAATCTCAGCCCTTGATCTATATCCATTAGGCATGTGTACGCTTGGATGAGGGTGGAATGTGGTGTACACCACTATGAGCGCTGCATGGAATAACGTATTGAAAAATAATGTGAGAAATTACACAGACCTGGGACTTGAACCCAGGTCTTGAGGATCATTCATGTCACGTGCTACCAACTGAACCAAACGCTTTTAGTTAACATATAATAACACGTAAATATAATAAGTAAAACATAATGCTAATTGGTTAAAAACGCGCGAATTTCAAAAGGGCCTATCACCAATTGACACGATGCCTTCGTCTTCCTCACCCTGTAATACAAAACACTATGGGAACGGTTTTTGAAGCGTTGTTTTAGAGGGGCTAGCAGAAAATAGCGAATAGCTCCATGAGCTTCATAAATTGTTCGCGAGGTATGTGTTTGCTTCGTCTTAACCTGCTCAATTCAACCATGATACTCACGAGCCCTAATTTTTCCTCTACGCAAAATCCCTATTTTAAGAAACCTGCAACCCTAATATTCAAACATGGCGAATTCGTATATATGGCACAAAAAAGCAATTGAATGTAATGGTTAGCTCAGAAACATCATTGTAAGCAATAATCCATAAATAAAAATGCAAGAGGATGCTTAATTCATGCTATGCGATTTTAGAATTTTTGCTTCACAGTTGGACTTAGGAGTACCAATTCAAGGCGTTTTTGCTGATGTTAATGATTGAGAAATGTTCAAGAATGTCTCAGGATGCTATTGGAATGAAACTTGGGGCTTGAATCCACCTATAACCTTGATTTCAGATTTCAGTTTTAAGGCAATTTTCTCAAGTTTGTATGTTGGTTTCTTGCGCAGCTTGCCGTCTCCTTGGCATTAGGTCTTGTTCTAGTACTTGTATGGAATGATTTAGGTCAAAAAGATTGAATAAAATCCATGGCCATAATGGTTTTTGAAGATTTGATTTCCATGATCTTTTTCATATCTTTTCCATATGCAATTTGGTTCAAATCTGATCAATTCTCATCAAAACTTGCTTAATTAAGAAGTGCACGAAATATTGACCTTGGAATGTGCATAAAAAGATTTTTTTAGGTTAGGTTTATATTTTTCATGTATTAAAATGATTTAAATGAATATAAATTAATATAAATTCAAATAAATAATTAAAAAATATGAAAATACTTCCCTTTGGGCCTAGTGGTCGTGCATAGGCTTGGCATGAAGAAACTTGGAAGAAAAATGGGCCCATTTGCATTTTTAGGCCTTTTGCATCAATGTTGACTTTTCAAAATTCCCAAAATTTTCCCAACTTACACAAGGCATAACTTGGTCAATTTTTAAGCTTTTCACATGTTCTTGGACATTTTGGAAAGGTCTTTGAGTCCTTTAACCAATGCCTTTGGTCCCATGTCATTTTGATTTACCAATCTCAAGTTATGGCCTTTGACTTAAAGTCCCTTTTTGTTGACTTTTGAAAATGACCTATAATGTTGAAATTGATAACTTTTTGTGAGAGCATTTCTTGGACTTGGAACATGAAGATGAATTGTAGGAAATGTCTTTCTCTTCAAAATGAGCTTTGGATGGAATTTTTCTGATAATCCATGTGAAAGTTATGCCCTGGTCAATTTCAGTTGACTTTTTCAACTGTCCAAATATAGCAACTTTTGCATCTTTGATGATTTCTGAGCCAAACTTTGAGAATCATGATCAAGCATTGATCAAATGATGTTTGTGGCTTCAAAATGATATATTGACCAAAAATTTGAACTTTTGACTGTCAAATGACCATTTTGCCCCTACAGTTGACTGTAGTGCAATCTAGGGTTTTGACTGTGCAATTTTGAACTGAATGCCTTGAAACTTGATGTGAGGATACTTGACCATCTTTGTAGGCATGTGAGACTTGATTGGGCCTTTGAAAACTTCCTTTCCTTGATCAGAACCCAAACCCTAGTTTTGACTGTCTAGGAGACAGTTGAGCTGCATAGTCCTTGGGGAATTTTGTGACCTTGATTTGGCAATTTCTTGATGAATATGGGAGGACAAATTTTGGGGTACAACAGAGATATAAGCTTGCCAGCCCGGAGTGGAGGGAAAGAGTAGCTCCTTGCCAGCAGCTTAAAATTCTACAGTGGTTCAGTCTGATTCGTTCATCCGGAAGAAAGGATATGAGGATTTTCACAAAGAAGCTTCCTAATCACGAAGCTAAGGCCTCAGGAAGAGGGGCGTAGCGAAACAAATCCTTTAACAGCAGCAAAGACTTCGGATGGGAAACCTTATCTTAATAGGAAGTGGACAAGAATCATCGCTCCAAGAGAAATGCCCAATCAATTGAATTCATACCAGGGAATCTCCTCCTTATTCCTTATGCAGTGCCCTAGATTTAGCTGTTGTCAGAATTAGAAGCTCACACCGGTAAATTTATTTCTTTATAGAACCAGGTGAAAGGCGATCGGCCAGCGAGGAATTAGCCATAGAGAAGGGAAAGCTCCCAACCCAAGTGCAAGTGCCATCCTAAAATGAAGTTGTTGGAGGGATATCCTCTGCTATTGACGATGCTGTTATTGGACTCGCTTGGCTCGGCTGGTCTCACTGGAACTCAGGGTTGGAGGAAGAAGGGCTACTATAGACTAGAGGGGAGGCCTTCTCATACCCAGTTAACTGATTTAAGGGAAAGTCCCGGAGCGGAGAAAGCGATCTTACTTATGAATGAAGCAGGGGGAAGAGACTGACTATCTTGCCGCTGCTAGTCTATTTTGGGAGAGTTGTTTGTTTACTGAATGCCATGCTGCTGGTACTGGTATTAGTACTAGAGCTGGTATTCGTACTCTTTGACTTACTGACTTTAGGCACTGAATGACATAGAAATCCCGCACCCTCAGACTTGAAAACGACTAAGCTTTTTGCCTTGCGACTTGCCTCTCTCACTCAAGATAAGGTCAGGTGATCCCTTTCTGTCTCCTTCTCAGTTAGGTCCAAAAAGTCCCTTCCCTTTCTCCGATCAAGAAGCCCCCTGATCCCTTTCTTTGTCTTTCATCCTCCCTGAACTGAATAAGTAAGGCCCCGTTTTTTTCTAATAAAAAAAAAGAAAGGGCGAAGCGCCCATTTGAAGTGGCGAAGGCCTATGATATAGTAAGAAAGAAAGTACGTTAAGGTTACGAAGTAAGGTCAGCTGGTTAAGGAAAGCTCAGGTTATGAAATAGCTTAGCCATTAATTAAGTAGTAGTGAGGCGTCGGTACGGAGCCTTCCACTGTGGACCGATACTACGCAAAGGTAGAACACCATAGAAACTTCGCTGACTTTATAATAAACAACCTTGATTTCGCTACGCTCAATAAGAACCCGGAATAGCGGAAATCGGTTCGTGTTCCGCTTCCAAACAAAGTCAGTCGTCTTTGCCCAAGTGTGAACTGCGGACGACTCTCCAGTGGTTCCATTCCTTCTTACTTGACTTCTGGGTCAACCCAACCCGAATGGGAAGAAGAGGGTCAGCCAAACAGCGGTCCACTTTGTACATTTGCTGAGGCAGACCAATCGGGCATTTGAGAAAAGGGAAGGTAATTTTTATCACCGAAGGAGGCAAGGCAGTAGAAATTAAGGAGGCGGGAAGCTACCGCTTCTAGAATGCAAGCTTATCCTTTACTTTTTTTAGAGCGTACCGCTATTGAAAAAAAGGTTTATGGATGGAGTGACAAATGATTACGGTTGCGGAAACCGGATAAAGTCGGGAACCGTCGGTTACCTTTTGAATCAAAGTAGCGCCGAGTACTTCGACTACAGGGGGGAGGGAAGCTTCGCGTCCTCGCCGCTTCTTTCTGGCGACTAGCTTATCAAGTGGGTGGCTTGGTAAGCAAGCGACCTTCAGCATCGGTAAAATCCCTATAAATAATAGGCCGGAATGGTGGGGAAGGAGGCCCCCCCTACTTAAATGGAAAGGGGGGAATCGCCGTTTCACAGCCGCTCCTCTACAACTAACTACCTTTCGCCCAACATGATCACGAACGAAGACAGAGAATTGCGTAGATAGAAGGACGAAACCAACCCACTTGTCCTGATCGGAACGATTGAAGAAAGAAAGATAATGGTGGCCCCTTTCGCCCAGGGGGCATCGTCGGAGAACTATGTCGGGGACAGGGGGTGAGAACCTTCCGTTGGTTACGCCCTTTAAGTGTTGGTTCTTTCTTAGATATGGAGATAGATCCAGAAAGATATATTGAGAAATGGATATTATTGATCTGGTTTCAAGATCTATGAACAAGAGAGATCCCTAAAGATCCATTTGAGAAAAGAGATGAATAGATAGGGCGGAGCCGGCTGAAGGAAGGGCGCTTACGCGCCCCTGCAATCTTTACTAAAGCAAGAAGCGAGAAAGTTTACTTTGAGAAAGAAGCTCCTTAGCACAAGCACTAAGTAAGAAACCTACCTTTTGACAACCTTACTAATAGAAAGGGGAAAGCTCAAGCATGCGAAGAAAGCTCGAAGAGCTTCCCTTATATATATTATAGAAAGGGGCTTCTTTAAATATCCCAACCATCGAGAAAGTAGGGGCTTCAAATCTAGCTTGTAGTTTTGGGGTGCGCAGGGAACCCTATACAAGAGGCTAGTGTGCAATGGCTTTCTGGGGGCTCGCTTCAAAAAGCGGAGCTTGCTGTCTACTAAACGAGCCTTCACTGCCCGCCCGGCCCCTATCTTTAATCTTAAGTCAAGTGAAGTCAAATCAATGAAGTGAACAGCCCAACCTCTTTGTTTGAAGCTTTGCTTCCCCTAATTCCAAAAAACAAGAAATAGACTTGCTACTACTATAGTTATAGTATAGGAAAAAGCTTCTCTTTGATAGCGGTCATAGGGGGGTTCAGAAAGAATCTGATCGTAGATAGAGACTAAAACCAGTGCGGGGGTAGGGGCGGATGTAGCCAAGTGGATCAAGGCAGTGGATTGTGAATCCACCACGCGCGGGTTCAATCCCCGTCGTTCGCCCATCAATCTGGAGCGGGTGGCAACATGCAAAATACCCGAGACCGGATTCGGGCTTTGGACGACCTCCTGAGGGCTCTGCTCCTCGAGCGGCAAGAATCCTACCAGGAATTCCATTCCTCTTCCGCGTCACGCCGGAGTTCCTGGTCAGCTTCTCTCCTCCAGCAGTGACAACGACAGTGACGCCATTAGGACGCCATCGTTCAGCGCGTTCCATATTTGCCAGCCGTCGGGAAGGTTTCACGGCGTCATGAACATCGGTGCCATGGTGTTAGAGGGTTCAACACCGCTCGTACATACTAAAGTCTTAGTAGCCTGATGCTTGTGCGTGACATCGAAAAGTGCTGCACGCCCCATATAAATATTTAATTTATAAAATAAAAAGAAAATAGGCAAATCGACCGTTTCACTTAGCGTACTTAAATCTCTCGCGAATTATAAACCGGCGCTATCTTGCTGCTGCTGGATATTTTTGATCAATAGAACAGGAAGAGGAGGATTTCTAGGAAAAGCTATGACTCAGAAAGAGGATAAGATGAGACTTTACCACCGTGGAGCGGCTTTTTGCAAAAAGATGAGGGAGAAACTCAGTAAGAGATGTCGGAGAAGCGAAATATACGAGATCACAAACGCAGATTGCTCGCGGCAAAATATGAATTGAGACGAAAGCTTTATAAAGCCTTTTGTAAAGATTCCGATCTTCCTAGTGATATGCGGGACAAACTTCGTTATAAGTTGTCCAAGTTGCCAAGAAATAGTTCCTTTGCACGAGTAAGAAACCGATGTATTTCCACGGGTCGCCCTCGTTCCGTATATGAGTTATTTCGAATTTCTCGTATCGTTTTTCGTGGATTAGCATCTCGAGGTCCTTTGATGGGCATAAAGAAATCGTCTTGGTAGCAACCGCCAAACCCATAAAACAAGGGTTAGCTCCGCAGCTGGTCCACAAGCAAGGCTTGGTAAGTAGGTCCATTACCGGCCGGCTCCGGACCGAAAAGACCTAACGGAGTAATCCCTTATCTCGGATCGGAGGTGCTAACGGGGCAGGAATCAAAGTGGGGGACCTATCTACCGCCTGTGTCTATCTCCTGTCAAGTATGCTCCCCAGACATAGACTACGTACAGGGTAGTACTCTTGGATATAATATCACCGCGTGAACGTGAACATAACATTAAGTTACGAATGTCACTCCCGAGGGATCGACCACTATTCTAAAGAAAGTAAGGCGGAGAACTGTTGTTCATTGGAGCGCCGGAGTGCGGGGGTTGTTCCCATCATTGAAGTCAGAGTGTGGGACTGAGCCTTCCGAATGATAAAGAAAAAAAAAGTGCTTAGTTTCGTTGGAAAAACCAACGCAAATATCATATTGACTTTATCTCGCCCAACTTCTAAGGATAGATAGAAAAGGTTGGAGAGAGTTACTTTATGAAATTGTCTCCTTTCTAAAGCTGCGCAAGGCGGCCCCACCCCTATTTTCCCCCCTTTAATGAAAGACCCTCGCCCCAAAAAAATGGGATTAATTAAAAAAAAAGCTTTTTGATTGATTCAGGGCGCAGCGAAACCAATTTATTTCAAGGCAAAAGGGGGACTTACTTACTTTACTTTTCCTGACATCCTATTCAAATCAAATTTAGCTATGTTAATCGAACAGGAAAAGTTTTAAGATGATATGGACCCTGGACGAGAACCTCCAATTGCTTAGGGGTCGCACTCTGTCCCGCTTGGTGGACGAAATATTATCTCCTTTTAGAATGATTTCTCCCACACACCTTTGCCCTCTTTCACCGAAGAGGAAAGAAAAATCTTCCAAGCGGACAGAGACCTAAATTTCCATTAGATTCATTCCTAAGCTTGCTTTGTTGCAGTAAGATGATCAGTCCGAGAGTGCTGGGGAGAAGATAAAGCGGTAAAAACCCCTCAGATTCGGTCACCGAGCAGTCGTCCGACTCTTAAGTAACCCAGGATGACCCCTTCGACGCTCGCTTCTTTCGCTGTATACCCCCTCCATCCTTCGGAGGTGGAAGAAAGAAAAGGTACTATAAAAAATGTTGTATTTATTCTTTTTAAGTAGGGCCCCAGAACGAAAAAAAGGTGGGGGAACCTGAGTTGTCACGATAGGAAAGAGCAAAAAATGACTATAAGGAACCAACGATTATCTCTTCTAAAACAACCTATATCCTCCACACTTAATCAACATTTGATAGATTATCCAACCCCGAGCAATCTTAGTTATTGGTGGGGCTTCGGTTCGTTAGCTGGTATTTGTTTAGTAATTCAGATAGTGACTGGCGTTTTTTTAGCTATGCATTACACACCTCATGTGGATCTAGCTTTCAACAGCGTAGAACACGTTATGAGAGATGTTGAAGGGGGCTGGTTGCTCCGTTATATGCATGCTAATGGGGCAAGTATGTTTCTCATTATGGTTCACCTTCATATTTTTCGTGGTCTATATCATGCGAGTTATAGCAGTCCTAGGGAATTTGTTCGGTGTCTCGGAGTTGTAATCTTCCTATTAATGATTGTGACAGCTTTTACAGGATACGTACCACCTTGGGGTCAGATGAGCTTTTGGGGAGCTACAGTAATTACAAGCTTAGCTAGCGCCATACCTGTAGTAGGAGATACCATAGTTACTTGGCTTTGGGGTGGTTTCTCCGTGGACAATGCCACCTTAAATCGTTTTTTTAGTCTTCATCATTTACTCCCCTTTATTTTAGTAGGCGCCAGTCTTCTTCATCTGGCCGCATTGCATCAATATGGATCAAATAATCCATTGGGTGTACATTCAGAGATGGATCAAATTTCTTTTTACCCTTATTTTTATGTAAAGGATCTAGTAGGTTGGGTAGCTTTTGCTATCTTTTTTTCCATTTGGATTTTTTATGCTCCTAATGTTTTGGGGCATCCCGACAATTATATACCTGCTAATCCGATGCCCACCCCGCCTCATATTGTGCCGGAATGGTATTTCCTACCGATCCATGCCATTCTTCGTAGTATACCTGACAAATCGGGAGGTGTAGCCGCAATAGCACCTGTTTTTATATGTCTGTTGGCTTTACCTTTTTTTAAAAGTATGTACGTGCGTAGTTCAAGTTTTCGCCCTATTCACCAAGGAATATTTTGGTTGCTTTTGGCGGATCGCTTACTACTAGGTTGGATCGGATGTCAACCTGTGGAGGCACCATTTGTTACTATTGGACAAATTCCTCCTTTTGTGTTCTTCTTGTTCTTTGCCATAACGCCCATTCCGGGACGAGTTGGAAGAGGAATTCCTAATTCTTACACGGATGAGACTGATCAGTGAAAAATTATGACACCAATCATTTACGTATTACACCAAGAATTAATTGACAAGCGCATTAGTTTTATAGTTGGCTATGTTGATATAGCTTAGATAGGGAAAAGATATTACTAGGGTAGGGCTTAACTTTGAAATCCGGGGGCTTTGTTCCCGAAACTCCCTTCCTCCTCCCCGTCCTTTGAAAGCTAGAACATTCGCATAGAGGAGTATCCTTATCACGCATGCTTTTCCACTGATGACAAAATTACCTTCTATCCTCTTCTAGGGATTCCTACCCCTATATGGAGAGGGTAAATTATTATTTGAGTATTATGCATGAATATGCTTCTGCGCCGGGAATATCTCATAGCGGGAAGGCCTAGAGATCATAAAGAGATGGGAATGGAGGCATTCCAGCCCAACATACTCCGGTGAATGGGTCGAGAGAGATAGAGAGGGGAGTGGGATACAGGAAGTATAGTGAAGAGTTGAGTGGCTATCCAACCATCCAATCGGCTATGGAGGGTGGTTTCAGCAAGCGGGTAAACCGATGATGACTAGTCAAAACGTAGGCCGATCGTCGCTCATCCCTCGTGTTCTCTCCCGTGAAGTGATTAATCCCTAAAATGGGCATGCAATCCCTATGGAAAAGCCAGTATTCCAATTGGAGTCAATTTCCACCCTCTGATGATCCATTCCGCCCTTCCGTATAGCCATAAAGGTATGGAATCTTATGGATGACTTGAAGTAGTTCTTCCACCCCCTCATCTTTCACCTATCCCTTAACTCCCCAGGGGATTCCGTACAGCTATACAATCACGGTTAATCGCTCGGAGGGAGGGAATAGAAGCAAGCATATTCCGTTCAGTCGGTAATGAATCAATACGCAGGGAAACTTTCTTCCATGGGAATGGCAAGTCTCGGACAGGCTCATATTGGTTGGGTATGCTCTTTCCATAGGCGACTTTCCAGAAGGTCTTCAAGGTGGATATGCTCTTCTTCGATGGTCTTTCTGAGAAGAAGATTCATAATTAACTACAATTTTTGACGTCAGCTGTCCTCAAAAAGATATTTATAGCGAGCAGCACTACTAAAAATTACCGGGGGCTTCAACCAGATTTCGCCCTATGCATCGGGAATTGGATCAAGATCAACTGCTTTTTAATTAAGCTTTTGGATTTGGCTCTCGAATTTACTATTGAAAAGGAAGGGATGTTGGGCGAGGTGATGGCTCTCTTTCAAGATATGCATCTCGAACCAGGTCTCCAACCGGCACTGAAATTGGCCCTGCACTGGGGGTGCCCCTCCCCGGTCTCAAGAACTCGAGCGGTCTTAACTTAATAGGTACTGGTAGCCGATTCGTATTGTATAGCTGCTGGGAAGCATCAAGATCGATCAATGTCCTGATTGCAAGGCATTAAGATGTCAATGCCTAGTAGTTAATGTGTTCCCGGTGGGTCTATCGTCAGTGTTCTAGTGCAAATAATATATCTATGTTTTTCAAAGCACGTCAAGACCAAAACAAAGCGAACGGACGGCAGGTTACTTTGATCTCACGCGGGCCTATACTTCGGCAACTAAGAAGGGGGCTGGGCAATAAGGAGGCTCCTAGCTAAACTTGTCTCGTTCGCGAATGAACCCAACGTCAGGAAATTAAAGAGGCCGCCCTAAGCACCATGCCTGTTTTGATCCTTGTTCCCCTTCTCGCCTCGCCCTATCCGACTGGACACCACATCTCGTCTTCAACTCATTCCGACACTGTGAGATCCTATGGTCACGCCTTAGTCCGAAGGGCTAAACGGGCTTTTGGGCTTTATAAAGAAATGTGACTCTCCACCTATTTCATTGTGTGCTTACCCCCCTTCTGCGCTAAAAACAAAGATAGTAGATAACGTAAGACTTTGCTTGGCTTGCTCCGAGCCATCTTGTTAAGGAAGGGCGGCTAGGGTGGGAAATGAAGAATCATGGAATTCAAAATAAGGAGATGAGAAGGAAGACTCTTAGTTGTTGAATGCGAGCCACTACATAGGTGGAATTTTCTAAGCTCCTTTAGGCCCGGCTAGCCCGTAGAGTCTTAGGCTTTTTGCCACTTTCCATGACGCAAGGTCGGGGTCGTTACGAATAGGACACATATACACCAAACCTTTTAAGGATGAGGTTCCAGTTTGCCATTCCTATTATTTATAGGCTTCCAGTCTCCTCATAAGTCCGCTCTTCTATCTTCGCAGAATTCACCCGGCTCTCTGACTCACCTTCGCGTCTAGGGCATGATGTCTTTAATTTAAGATGATTCAATTGGTCAATCGTCTTGTTATTCTTCCGGGCCTCTCTACGGGATTGGAAGAAGGAGTTTTCACCCAAATGAGTTAGAGTTCCTCCGAACCGTGTCATTCTCGAAGTATGGCACAACACTCTGTCGAAAACACGAGGCGGGAGTGCGTCGAAGCATGAATTGACCTAGCGACGTTAACCTTGGGTGAGGTGCAGTGCACTAGCGAGCGACTTCCTTCCCCAAAACAAAAAAAAGAATGCCGCTATCATTATCATGCGCGAAGCTAAGCTTGATAGGAGCCCGAGCTAAGAGAATAGAGCAAACTCGACGTCACAAAACCAGGGATAGATCGCTCAAGGGAGCAACTCGAGATAGATGCAAGATTCTTTCTCCTGCCCTTCACTTAGAAAGAAAAGTAAATTTTTCAGCACGCACTAATTCCTAAGTTTTGTCGGTCGAATAGCCTTCTTGTGTGACCTTCCACGGGGTGGCAAGCTTTAGAGAATAGGGGCGAGGTCCCCATACTACATAAGGCCGTAAGCAGTGGCTCGACGGAGATGGTTCGAATCAAGCGAAACCAAAGGCATTCGTTGGCACCCGAGATGCTAAGGATCGAAGACTAACTTTTTGGATATGGAATAGTACTTTCTGTTTGTGCCCCTTTTTACGACCAAGTCACAATGGCTAGTATCTATCTGGGGATGCGCTGCTGTGGTGACGGACGCGATATGAGGACATGCTGGAGGGCCGTTGCGAGATCAACGCCTGGCTGGGATGGGAGGAACTAAATAGGGAGCTCAAGGAAAGGAGCAGTTCCTGCCTGGGAACGTTGTATGGCTCGCACGAGAGTCCCTGATGCGGGCCGGCACTGTTCGATAAAATCAAAGCAGACCATGGGGGACTGACCCGAGCTATAGACAAAGAAGGACTTTGATAGATAGAATAAGGCACTAAGACATCAAAAAGAGGGCTACTTCACTATGAATGGTAACATATGAATTGAAACTAATGCGACGGGTGTCAATTACCAAAAACGACTCGACCACTAACTAAGTCCCGCGGGACATTTCTAACACAAGGCCGAAGATGGATGCGAAGAATATTTTACTCTCGAACCATCACACGGATTCCAACCCAACAGCCCATGATATAGTAAGAACGGAATGGAAAGGCAAAAAAACGATTCTATATGCAGACGTGAAAGCTCTATCGATAGAAGCATTCATTCTAGCCTATCTTTTTTTTTAGAGAGGAACGATTCCCTCGTCTGAGAACCGCCATTCACGCACTATTCCTCCCCACTCAAAAAAGCTATTTATAATCTCGATAACCTAAAAAAAATGCAGAAGTGAGCGTACCCCAAAGCTATCCTCTCTTCCCCTTTTTTAGCTTTAGCCAACCCCATTTTTTTCACCTTGAATTGGTCAAAGCCAAAAATATGATAAATAGAAGGAAGAGAGATCAGAAAGATAGGCGGACGACTTTACTATAGTATAGGTCGGATGTTTCCGTGAGCAGTAAGCAGCAGATCTCCCCTTATTTATTTCATTTTTTAAAGCTGGTGGCTGCCTGTGAATTCTTTCAAGGCTAGGGGCGGCCTGATTCGCCATTGTTGTTTACTCTGATCCGGTCGAGGTGGTTTTCGTTTACCAGCGCGTAGGCGGTCTAAGTTCCTATGACCGAGTCTTTCTGGCCCCTGTGAACATCTTTTCTTAATGTATTAAAGAGGGCCTCTCTAACCGGTGAAAAGTGGTGGGTGTCCACTAACGGCCATTCCTGGCTCGGCTCCGATAACGCAATTCCGGAAGGAGTCGGTAGTTGGGCACTGGATCCCTTCGGACCTGGAGAACGCGTGACGCTGGGTCGGGGTTTGGTGAACCAACTGGTCGCTCCTCTAGTTGAAGTCTCGGGCCCCTTTTTCTTTCGTTGCCTAGGTTACACCTTCGGAATACCCCAGAAGGTAATTTATCTCTATTTCCCTCAATCTTCACTTTACGCCACGCCGACTCTCCTTTCGTCATAAGGCGTGGAATTAGACCAAGGGGAATCTCCAT